TATATATATATATATATATATATATATATTTTTTTTTTCTCATAGCTCTGGTCCTACCATCCTGTAGACAGGTTGGAGATTTCAGGACACTGGGACTGAAGCATTTGTTACAAGGTAAGTTATTGTGATGTATTTCATCTAATATGTTTTATGCATGAAAGGCAGATTATGGCGGATTCAAAGTTCCTGTATCTTCCTGGGATGGGCAGCAGGAAGTTTATCAATGTGATAACACTTTGGCTCAATAATTAGCCATATGCTGGGAAGATGTTTACCTTCAGGGCAGGGCTACTAAGGCAATCTGTAATCCTGTAATTGTAGGACTGAAATCTCGACTGTTCAGGTGCGACATTTGTATTATATTCGGTTTTCCTGACGTCTTCTGCACAAGGGATATATATGACTGAACAGTCAATCGCCAGGAACAGCCCATGGCTCAATTAGGTCCATAGCAGAAAGTATTATTGATTAGTCTCCCCAAGAACGAATACACCAATAATGAGTATCTATGACCCCCTCTCCTTTCCTCATACCTAAAGTGTATGTATGTTATTTGCTCCATTTTGGTCTGTTTAATAAACCATTGGAAGGGTTTTGATATATATTTTTTAAAGAAAAAAACAAACGGTTGATCTTGTTGGAGCTGTCCTGTGTAGGGATGCACCGATACCAGTTTTTCGGTATCAAGTACCGATATTTTTTTTTCGGTACTCGCCGATACAGAATACCGATACTGGAAGTCCCATTAAGGAAGCCAGGCGGCGTGTAAAGACTCGCCACCTGGCTTCCTGATTAGCAGGGAAGCTGACTCCATGCTTCTCGTCACTAGGTGACGACAAAGCATGGAGCCGGCTTTCTGGACTATCAGGAAGCCGGTCGCCATGTAATGACGCAGCGCCTGGTTTCCCGATTGTCCGTGAAGCCGGCTCCATGCTCCCTCGTCACGAGAGCTGGCCGCTGCCCTTCCCGACCAACCAGGAAGCCAGACAGCAAGTCATTACACGCTGCCCAGCTTCCCGATACCGGAAGCTCAAGTATCGGGCTAGGTATCTGAGCATTTGGTCGAGTACGAGTACTCGCCCAAATACTCGGCATTGGCACCAATACTAATATCGGTATCGGTGCATCTCTAGTCCTGTGGCCTGTGTTCAGGGCTTGATTTCCCACAAGGCCAACCAAGGCCCGGTTTTGGGGCAGCAGGGAGTAGAGGGGCAGCAGGGGTGTGAAATTCCTATCTCCCAACGCCCGGGACATGTAGTTCCAGGGCGCCGGGCGGAATGGTTTTCTACATTTAGCCCTGCTTTAGACAAGCAGAGCTAAATGTAGAGCGGGGAAGCCGCCGCTCATTCTATACAAGTGATAAAAAAGTTTAAACAAAAAAAGATTAAAAATAAAAACCCTGCCGCCCCGCCATCTGGGGGCAACTTTGGCTGGGAGGCGGGCACATTAAGGAACCTGGCCTTGGGGCAGCAGAGAGAGTAAATCCAGCCCTGCCTGTGTTACCTCAAGAAGTCTAATTAGCCCTTCTAGTTCTTATATTGGACTACAGAATGATTAGCCTTGCAGAGATCTGAGAGTGGGAGTGGTTGAGCAGTTTAGCAAAAAAGAAATTGGGCAGAGCTGACACCACTTTGTCCACAAAATACTGTATGTTGTCAGCCCACAACATGACATAGAAGCGGAGTAAATTTCTGGCCGATCAACAGGTATTTTGCTGCACTTGCAGGGTCTTTAGAGGGATAAAACATGGGGAAATGTGAATGTGTCACAGAGATGTACGGCATTCATAGTAAACCTATGCTAAGAGAAATACAAAGGATGCCAATGCTGACCTCGTTGACTGGAATCAATACATCCCAATCACCGAACTAGTATAAGTATGCAGCAAGGAAAGACAAACCCGTATGCTTGCCACAGGTATCTAACTCAATGGATTGAACAGGCAGCTAACCAGTATTTTCAGAACAGGTCCCAAATGGCAGCTGCCAGTACAGTGCAGGTTTCCTCTAGGCCGGTGTACACTGCACACACACCCGCCCATAGCAGACAACAGAAAAACATGCGACACAGGAGGCACAAGCTGCATTTCTCAGATTTTTCTGACATATTTATGGCATTATATATGCCGTCTATACGTTCATCTGAAGGTTCCGCATTGTGACAAGTGACAAGAACCTGTTGTCATAGCACAGCCCTGAACAGGATTGCAAAAAAAATAAAAAAAAATCTTGCCCAACAAGTCTTCATCCAAGCTGTAAAAGGTGGCACAAAAAGTAGAACATTTTTGTTTGCCAGAAGACACAGAGATTTGTTTAAAAGCAAAACTGTCCATATGAGCCGACTTCAAATAAAACTTAACTCCGGCACAAAAGTGTTCATTTAAATAAATTCCTCAATAGCCACAAAGGATATAAATGTACTTTGTGTGCACTAAATGTCATTGCAAACATAGATATTACATTGTGAAAACAGCAGTGACATCATCACTGTGCTGTACATAGCCTGTGCAGAGAGCAGGGCCGTGGGAGGGACACGTGGCAGAGGGCGGAGACAAGACCAGTCACCCTGCAAAATGAGAGAGCAGCAGTGACCTGAGACAAGACCAGTCACTCTGCACAAGGAGAGAGATCAGCAGCGAGTGGTCTTTATTACAGGAGGGAGCGGAGACCAGACCAGTCACCCTGCACAAGGAGAGCCCAGCAGTAATTGGTCTGTATTACAGGAAGCTCCAAGTGTCACTCTGGATTCCTGCACAGATCTGGAAGAAATACACAAAGCTCACCAACATTCAAGGAAGGGTACACCTGACTCTTGTATATAGATAATATTTCCTCATCCCAGAGTTCAGCTTTTAAGTGGAACTTCATCAAAACTTTTTTTTTGTAACAGTATGGGGGAAGTGTTAGGAACTCTGCAGGTTTTTATGGTCATCTCTGTCTCCCTTTGGAGATCTAAAATCACTTTAAATCCTGCCGACTGCTGCTACCAGGACAGAAAATGTGGGGAAGTCTACAACCTTAGTCCCTGTGCACACTTTGGCATTGTGTGAACGCGCACCAAAGCACACATTCACGCAACGCGTTACAAACGTGCAGCATGCTTGCTGTGCCATTACTTGTTAGCAAGCATTGCTTGTTAATGGCACCCCAAACGCGGCCTGTAAAACGTGTGTGGATGTGCATCAAAGGCACAGAATCACGCAGGAAAAAGAAAATGCTCACAGCTGAAAATGATGCATGGGCTACTATTTTGATTAAATCAAAAGCATTCCTTGTGTGCAGTTAGTGAAGACGAGATGAATATAAACAATGCAATGTTTACAGTGACCTGCACCTCTGATGACGGCTCCAAAGCACAAGGCAAATGATGTGTTAAGGTATTTTACAGAAAGTACCTTTTGGGTGGATTCACACTACTGTGTTGTGGCAACGTGGGGCTGGGAAGTTGAGTATTAAATGTCTTCTTTGCAGGGGACCCTTTACTTTGGACTTTTATTTTAGTAACAGAATTGATTTATTGCAATGCGTGTCAATTCTTGTTTTGCAGTTTTTGAACACAAACTGTTTTTGTGAATCTGTCGCAGAGAGTCTTACCCGGGAGATCCTGCCAGTAACTTTAGTGGCCATTGAGCTGCCTATCGCATACAAATAATAAGCAGCCCAACGACCAACCAAAGGAATGCTCATGGAGGGCTGACAACGCTACTTTATGCCATCAGTCTGCAACAGGATGTGCCGTTACTGGCGGGATCTACAAGAAAGAAATTTAACGAACAGATTCACAAAAACACAAATTTATTAAAAGAGAAAAGCTAAACATTTTTTTTGGCTTTAGCCCTTTTTGGGTCACAGGAATAGATTTACTAATGTGCTCCTGTCAGTCAGCATGTAGTGAGCTACTGCCTGCGCAGACCCCCACAGCAGCCAGGAAGGATCCCGACAATATTGTTGGCATCAACCCCACTGGCTGATTGACAGCTGGCTCTGCCTCTCTAGAGCCAGAGACAGCTGTGCCCGCCTCCTCCTCTGTCTGTCCCTCCAATGAGCACTTCAGGAACAGAGAGAGGAAAGGGGGGGGAATGAATCCCTGCGGGAAGCAGTGTCTGAAAGCTGCAGTGTCCCTCGCCAGCTCATAGTATTGGGTGGAGTATATTTTACTCTCCCAATACTTCTCCTTTAAGATCACTGTGTACAGCCAGGCATGATGTCAAATATAGGGAAAACATAGGTGAGGGTTTACATATACTTTAAGGCTATGTGGACATGGGGGTAGGCAACCTCAGCCCTCCTGCTGAGGTGAAATTAAAAGTCCCATGAGGCATTGCAATTGCTTCCGACAGGCACAGGCATGACTCGCAGAGGCATGATGCCACTGCAAGATTGTCAGCCTTGCAATGCCTCATGACAGGGGCGTCCCGAGGCTGGGTGACACCCGGAGCGGTGTCTGAGTGTCACCCCGCCAAGACGTCACCGTGCATGCGCGTGACGTCACCACGCGTGTGCGCGATGACGTCATCTCGCACGCGCGGCAGTATTCTGATACCTGCCAGCGGCCATCTTGGTGATGGACGCCGGCAGAGAGAGGAGGAGACAGCCACCCGGCGGGATAAGGTATGCCGCCGGGTCCCCTCCTGATACTGTTGGGCGTTCGGTCCGTGACCGAGCGCCCGACTTTTCAGAGGGGGGTGACACCAAAATGACTGCAAGTCATTTTGGTGTCACCCGGGTGCGGGCCGCACTCCCCGCACCCCCCTTGTGACGCCACTGCCTCATGGGACTTGTAGTTTCAGTACAGCTGGAGTGCTAAGGCTGCCTATACCTGGTGTACTTGGTTTAGTGTTCTGTTAAAGATCCAGGGTCAGTGGGGTTTGGGGGGCTTTCTATAAAACCATTTAATTCTGAGGAAAGGCAAGCTTAAACATTTACTAGAGTTTATTAGCATTAAATAAGACAAAAGCTAAAACGTAAACAAATTTCACAGATTGCTGTGAGCAAAGAAAAAAAAAAAACCAGTACATAACCGCGTCTACACCATTGTCATGAAGACAGGTCTGCCCTGAACACCTCAATACACAGCCACCAATGTCTTCTGAAGATCAAGTCAATTCCATAAAAGCGTTTCACTTCCATATGTATGAATGGCGCTCCCTACTGGCCACAGAAAGAGATGCAGGCTTAGTGAAAAACTAAAAAAAAATATCCATCCTTGTGTACATTGTCTCCGGCAATCTACGTGTATTGTAGATTGTAAGAATAGGTTTATCTCCGTATAAAAAAACCCTGAGAGGGGAAGCATTTAAAAAAATAGAATCGGAACTTTCATGTGCAAGTATTTGCTTTAAAAGGCAACGACGAACGTCTCTGATCAGGAAGTCCCTGCCGCGTGGATGATTGCAGACGCGTTATCGCCAAGCACAGCGTCGAGCGGCGCCCGTTTTTTTATGCCGATGCTGCGTCCGGTGGAGATGAGGTCAGCGTATCCTCGCTGGTGGGAAAAGGCATAGGCCGAGCGTCGGCCGGAGGCGCCACGTCTGATTGTACTGACCCGCGGCTGCCACTTGGCCTCTTCCACCTTGAGCTTCTTTCTGTTCTTTTGAATCTGGAAACGGGAAAAATAATACAACTGTAGGAACGTGATATCAAAGATCCCAACGCCTCCCTCCATCCTCCACATCAGTATACGGCTCTGTTCACACCTAAGCGTTTGTCGCTCGAAGTGCGACAAAACGCTCAAGACAAGGAATCCCATTCATTTCTATGGCCCCTGTTCCCACCTGAGCGCTTTGTCGCATAAAGTTTCCCATTGAAGGCAATGGGACCAAATAGCGCTGTAATCTGCCGAAAAGGTAGCTCATGTACTTTTTCCAGTGACAAAACGTTCAGGTGGGAACCGGGGTCATAGAAATGAATGGGATTCCTTGTCTTGAGCATTTTATCGCACTTATCTGAGTGACAAAATGCCTAGGTGTGAACGGGGACTAACCCTGCTGTATGAGGGGCAAAATGAGCCCCAAAGCTAAAGAAATATGACATTTTGTGAATGTAAGGGGACACTCTTCAATGTGTATTTGTATGGGAGCGTAGGCTCCAGCACTGCAGAACACAGACTGTAAGAGGCATAGGGATCTATGTATGCTGCAGCACCTTGCAATACGCTTTGATGACATGAACCTAGACAAAAACGAGCACTTAACCCTTCTACTGCAGGGGTAGCCCCACTGAAGGGTGTAATAAAATGTTTAACCAGAGTTGTTCAAGATAATAGAGTAATACTTTTTTTCAGGACTAACAAGGCTTTCTTTTGGTGATAGTGTCTTGCAATTTTTTTTATGCAATCCATAAATATTAGAAATAAAAATAAAACTAATATTATTGTGGCTATTACTAAAACAAAATCACACTTTTTTTTTTCTACAGATCAGTAAGAACAAAATGTTCGGTGTTAGTTTAAAAAAATATTGTTGCTGTAGATAAAAAGGAAAACTATTTAAAAATTAAATAAAAATATGCATAAATGCATAAATGAAAAGAAAAGAAAAACAACAAAACAAAAAAAGTATAAAAAATAATGGTTAGAATATTAGAATTAAAAAAAGGGAATCGGCAAGAAAAAAATATAATTAAGGGGAAGGCGGAGTTAAAGTAGAACTATGGGGCAACCTTTTTTGCCCATAGTTGTCTTCAGGGTCACAGGAGGACATATACTAATGTCCACCTGTGACCCAAAACTCAGCGAATAGCGGGATATCGGCCACTATATGTTGAAAGCGCAGAGCCGTGCCACAGCCGAGATGGATCCCGACAATACTGTTGAGATCCACCCCGCTGGCTGATTGACAGCTTGCTCTGCCTCTCTAGAAGCAGAGCCAACTGTGCCTGCCCCATCCCCCGTCTGTTCCTCCAATCAGAGCTGGAGAATCGGAAAGTGTCGCATTTTCAGTGTCACAGGTTGGCTTCAATTATGTGGATGAGTGCTTTTCACCCCCAAAATTCTCCTTTAAAAAAGGAGAACTATGGGGATCAGGCTTTTCCCCATAGTTCTCCTTAGGGTAACGGGAGGACACAAACTCACGTCCTCCCGTCACCCTAAGCTCAGTATACCACGAGCTACAGCTCTTTATACTGAGACGCGGCAGCTGAAGCGGATCCCGACAATTATGTCTGCATCTGCCCAGCTGCATGAGTGACAGCTAGCTCTGCCTATCTAGAGGCAGAGCCAGCTGTACCCATCCCCTCCCCCGTCCGTTCCGCCAGTCAGCGCTGGAGGATCGGAGCGGGGAGGGGGGAATCCAGCTCCTCCCCCTGTCACAGCAGAGAGCTGTGACAGGATCGAGAGGTGAGCGAATGCCGGTATGTGTTCGCTCACCTCCTGATCTACTGAGCCGACCTGTGACAGTCTCATTGTCACAGGTCGGCTAGAACTATGAGGTGAGTGAAAAGCACTCACCTCATAGTTCTCCTTTAATTAGGCCGGTACAGGGAAAACTAAGGGTTAATATAGGGTATTTATAAAGGGTAAGGCTCTAACTGATACCATAAGCAGATTGAAGCTCATTACTCCTGTAAATGAATGAAATAGAGTAGATACAAAGGTAACAAAGCCTCTCTCTGGTGTTTGAATCGAAATGATACAGATGGTCTGTTTTTGATAGCAGCAGGTATCACAGCTGCTGTATTTACAAAAAAAAACTTCGGACTGTCATTTTGACAGCTGAGAATTGACAGAAATGGAAAGGATGGAGCCGCAGAAGGACAGGGTGTACTACACACGTCCTTTGATGACGTTATTTTGGAATGATCCATTGGTCAGTTCTAATGCTTCTTCATCGTGTTTTTTGGGCTACTTCCCATTCTTTCTTTTAGTAATATTTAATATGGACTGCACCTATAATATTGGAGCATTCTTTTTTTTTTCTTTCTAAAGAACAAGCAGAAAAGGCTGTTTGCTTTCAGACTCTCTCTCTAAATGAAGCTGGGAACAAAGCTTTGGAAGAGAGATTGGTTAAGTCAGTCCTATGGCTCATTTAGCTGCATGTGAGCTTCCACTATAATTCTGCAAAGATCAGGCTTTTTTTTTAGGAAACAATTAAGATTATCCTGCTAGTGAAAATTAGATTTTTAAATACAAAATATTCATATGCACCATTTTAGATTTATCCTCAGAAACAAAACATTTTCTTTTACATTTATTTTTAGCTGTAAACATCTAACACTGGCACACATACCGGTAGATACATACATACATACCTACACATACACTGGCACACAATACAGGAAAAGGGCCACTTTACCTTGTCACTCTCTGAGGGCCATATAGTTTTCGAAAGGAATCTCAGGGCAACGACCGGAAGCAGACACACCCCCACTGTCAGGATTATGGTCAGCCAGAGGTATGGCTGGCGTAAAGCATTTGGCGCAGCTCCTGGGAGGCAAGAACCAAAATCAAAGATTATTTTACAGAACCATCACACATCTAGGGACTGATATATAAATTATATTTCCCAGCATATAGCTGGGTGACTGCTGTTCACTATGACATGACGCTATGATGTCACTATGACCCATGACACCACTACCACTAGATGGCACTGAGGAGCTTAGGAAATTATATCCAGTAGCAATAGTGCGGAGTGAGCGGCATTTGCCCAGTGTACAGCTGAAGTGGTCAGGCATGACAAATGATGGGGAAATGGAGGAGTATAAAGTGGACTGGGTTGTGGGGAGGAGAGTATAAAGTGGGCAGGGGAGTTCTGGAGAGGTGAGTACAAAGTGGTCAGGGGAGTTCTGGAGAGGCGAGTACAAAGTGGTCAGGGGAGTTCTGGAGAGGGGAGTACAAAGTGGTCAGGGGAGTTCTGGAGAGGTGAGGACAAAGTGGTCAGGGGAGTTCTGGAGAGGGGAGGACAAAGCGGTCAGGGGTTGCGGGTGGGGCGGATGGCTGGAGAGGGGATTATAAAATTGGGAGCACTAGAAAGATGAATATAAAGTAGTCAGGGAAGCACTGGATAGGTGAGTATAGAGTGGTTGGGGGCTATGGATTTAGGGAAAACCGAGAGATAAGTATAAAGTAGACAGGGATAGCAGGTGGGGAGTACTGCAGAGGTGAGTATAAGTGGTCATGGAGCAATGGAGATGCGAGTATAAAGTGGGTGGGGGAACGATGGACAGGCGAGTATAAGGTGGTGGGAGGTTGTGAGCTTGGGAGCAATGGAGAGGGGAATATAAATTAGTCTGGGGTTGCAAGCGGGGTGAGGGCTGGAGAAGCGAGTATAAAGTGGTCAGGGGTTGCAAGCGGGGTGAGGGCTGGAGAAGCGAGTATAAAGTGGTCAGGGGTTGCAGGCGGGGCAAGGGCTGGGGAGGCAAGTATAGCGTGGTCGGAGGGAAGCGTTTGGCCTATTTAATTTTGTGTAAGGAACTTGGTGGAGTGAAAATCGCAGCTCGCTTCTTTCCCCCCAGTATAATCATTTACCTGTGAATATGAATTTCGAAGGGAAGAGAACATGGATCCCAGCACTATGCAGGTCAAACATGATTCCAAAGTAAATGGCAATGCTTCCAAACACAGAGAACGCATTCACAAACGTCCAATAGGATGTATCCAGCCCAATCTGTCATGGCAAAGAGGAAGAACTATTATAAGAAACAAATTACTGGGATTGATAAACAGCTACCCTAATATCATGCGTCACCATTTTATTCTCCATTGTTACTGCTTTCAGGAATTATATAATTCTAGAGGGGGGTATAGTAATCTTCAGGCCTAAAATAGGGTTTACCTGTCCCCAAAGGCAGAAGCCTTCATTTTCAACCGTAAAACTTTATAAAAGAAAGAACTACAATAGTGTCAATGTGTTAGTATGAGCTCAGCTTGCCTGGAAGTTGACGGTAATGATGAGCGCGGTGGCTGTGGTCACGGCAAATGATTGGTAATCGGAAGGGGCCTCTCCATCTTGGCCCATGGTTAACAAGAATGCTCCATACGGTATGAAGAAGATTACCAAGGAGGTGACTATGCCGTGGAACAAACTCAAAAAGAATTTCTTGTAATTAAACAGAAGATCTTTCTGGCCCGGAATATATAAGCGAGGGAAGCGAAGGCTCAACTTGTCACTGACATCCTGCAACAAGAAGAAGTTTAAATCAGAGGGGGAAACACAAATCTCAGCTGTACTGATGAAACTGTAAGGTCTTTACTTATATGTTCCATGGAGGTACTGACCTGATCCAAGAGGCCAACGAGAAGGACGGGCAAGCTGGAGTACAGGACATTGTACAGGGCAATAAACCAGTCTTCATACACCGTCTGAAATAGCAGTAAAACAACTGTAATTATTGAATATTTGGTTGTCATAACAGTCATCTGATCAGTTCCAGTTTATAATGAATAAAGCCAAAGTATTATTTTGTTTTACATGGAACTGGGAAGAGATGGAACATACTGCAAGTCAGGTTTTTATTGATGTAGCCCCACCAAGTATATTTTACCTTCCCTAATCCTGATGCCCATTATTTTGTTTTGTTTAATATATTTTTATTATTTTGTTTCCATAAAAGTACATTTAAGCAAACATTCATAAACATTAGTTTCAAATTATCTCTTATTTTTAATAATTGCTTATAGCTCTATTTAAGATAATTAAACTTCACCCACTTCCCATAACCATCACTATCATCCATCATATTTACTTCTTCTATCGCTCTCTCCTCACATTCTAACTCCCATTCTTATGGTTTCAAAGGGGGGGGGGGGAGGGGGGGGGGGGAGTGTACTTATCCCTTATACTTCATTTATAGTACCCCTCTAGTGTTTGTGACTTCTATAACCCATAATATATATGTGACCTCACTATACCCTCTTATAGTATCTGCGTTCCTATGTTTCTTATTATTATTTCCCTCATGTGTTCTCTAGTGTAATAACTAAACAATATACAATCAATAATAAACCCTTTTATTACAACTTAAACCATGTTACTTCCTCCCCACTTTCCCCATTTATATTATTCCCACTTTCCTCGTGCATCCTGGCTATTATTTAATTACCTACTTTCCTTAGTCCTATGTGTACTACCTTTCCCCTCTGCTTCTTCTAAGTACACCTCGTGTCTCACTTCCCAATCCCGTCCTCACATCACCCCTCCCCTCCACAGAACCATCTTCATTCCTTTCCATCTTTCATTCATCTAGGTCATATGCTATTTTTTTGTTTAATATATTTTTATTATTTTGTTTCCATAAAAGTACATTTAAGCAAACATTCATAAACATTAGTTTCAAATTATCTCTTATTTTTAATAATTGTTTATAGCTCTATTTAAGATAATTAAACTCTGACGCCTATTATTGCCAATACAGAAAGGGATAGGAAATCTAAAATTAGTCACTAAAAAAAGGAAATGGAAAAAATCTTCCAATGGGGAAACCTGTCCTGGGGCACCACTGTCTGAGAGGGAATATTCCCTCATTTTGGAGAGATCTTCTGTAACCCACTCTTGCATGTCTGGGACAGGAAGTGAAGGGAAAGCTCCCCAATGGGACCCTGACAGCAAAAAAGGGGGTGTTAACCATTCCCTACTTTTTTGTACTCCACATACAATCCTTTTCTATGCATTCAGCAGAGGACACAGCTCTTAATTAGTTAACCCCTTCACGGCCCATGACGGGATTAACCTCAAGGGGTTACATAGACTCCAGGCGACTATTAGCTGCCGGAACCCTGTTCAGATTTGTAGAGCCGGCGGCCGGCTTTACAGTAGAAGCGATTCTAGTCAGCTGCCGCCAGATTGCTTCTACGATCTGGTAAAGTGGCATCCCCCCCGCCCGACAAACTCCGTGTTTCCCGTGCACTGCTGCCACTGTATGTGATAGCAATAAAGTAACATGAAAAACAGACAAAAAAATAATATTAAGTAAATTAAATGTAAAAATAATTGTAAAAATGTTTAAGCCCCCCAAGCACGCTCGTCGTCACAAACATGCGAAAATGACGATCGCGCTACACATGCTGGGTATCGCCACACACGCCAGAGTGAGAGCAATAATTCTAGGGACAATATTTACACATATCTCTAAACTGATGACCTGTGCGGGCTTTTAAAGCGTTGTCTGTAGACTTTTTGGGGTACTGAATTGTGTTGCAGTTTCACGGACGCACACAATTTTTAACCTGGGCATGTTGGGTATCTATTACTTGAAACCATCTTTTATATTTTACAAAAAAAATGGTTTTGGGAAATAGTGTTTTGGGGAACTAAATTTAACTTAAGTGCATTTTTCACTAAAGTTTGGGGGTTTGATAATAAGTTGCGCTAATGTCGTGCAACATAAAAATCTGCAACTGCCACCATTTTATTATATAGGGTCTTGGCTTTCAGAAAATATATAATGTTTGAGGGTTTTAAGTAATTTTCAGGCCTAAAATGTGTATTATAACATGTAAACAAAAAAGGGAAGCCGGCTCCATGTCCTTAAGGGGTTAACCAGCGACTGGCTATATCACCACCTGAAGTCGGTAATTAACTAAAGCAGAGCGGTGTCCTCCAATGAACGAATTTGGCACTAGCAAACCCCTACAGAAATGAATTCAGCCATGCAGCCCGAGAAGAAAGAAGATCTATCCATGGTATCTATGCAGCTGTAGAAACCAGTGATGGACCTTATAACTGGGTGACGTAGTTGATAGATCTTCCAACCATCACGTTCAAAATGCCTGAAAATACCTTAACAGGATTCGACTAGTAACCTATCTGATCTAAAATGACCATCCTTGTATTCCAAGTTCGACCAATTGTTTCTAGATCTATCACAATCCAACAAAATAATGAATCATCGCCGAGTGATCAAGCTCGTCAGCATTTATACAGGTCTCTCTGCTTACCTGGGCAGAAAATCCATTGAAGAACGAGTACCAGAAGTGAACCAATGTGAATGCAAAGTTCTTGTAGAAGAAAAAGCCGAGGAACTTGCACATGCGGATGTAGGACCAGCGACCGTGGACCAGGATCAACCTCTGCAGGTATCGGAACTGAGCGAAGGAGTAGTCACTAGACATCACGGCCTGCATACCTTCCTGTCCACTAATACCAACACCTATATGGGCAGCTGGGAGAGAGGAAGAGAGAACTGTAAGGCAGAAGACCACATCAAACCATCTCCAGAGGTCTGCAAATTCCATATCCCTTCCATATTCCTTATTCCTGACAATTGTCTTCTTAAAGGCACTGGTCAAGCGCCTTAATGAGAATGTACTGTGATTTTGTGTATATACTAGGGATGCACCGATGCTGGTTTTTCCATATCGAGTACCAATATTTCTTTTTGAGTACTCGCCGATACCGAATCTCGACAGTCCCATTAAGGAAGCCAGGCGGTGTTTAATGACACGCCACCTGGCATCCTCCGGATTAGCCAGGAAGCCGGGAGGCGTGTAAAGACTCGCCACGTGGCTTCCCGATTAGCAGGGAAGCCGTCACCAGGTGACGAGGAAGCATGGAGCTGGCTTTTTGGCCAATCAGGAAGCCAGGGGGGGGATAATGACTCACCAAGTGACGAGGGAGAATGGAGCCGGCTTCCTGGCCAATCAGGAGACCGGGCAGGGTGCGTGTAATGAAGTTCGGGTATCGGGCTAGGCATCGGAGCATTTGGGCGAGTAAGATTACTCTCCCAAATACTCTGTATCGGCACCGATACTAATATGGGTATCGATGCATCCCTAGTATATACTATGGTCAGGTACTTTTGTATTGCAAGAACATCTGCTGGGAAAAAAAAGGTAAAATCTCTGCAAGTAATAATATGCATAATAATAGCAAGCAATGATGAAATCAGTCGCATTGCTTCCAAGTACTAAACGATGTATGACTAGCCTAAGGATACAAGAAATCTTGAATATGGTTGGCTATTGCCGACATAAATCTACATTCTATTTCCTCCTTACTTTTAATCATGTTGACATCGTTGGCGCCGTCTCCGATGGACAAGGTGATGGCTTTCTTGTACTTCTTCACCAAGTCTACCACCATGGCCTTCTGTTTGGGGGTCACTCTGCAGCAGATGACGGAATTGCACTCACACGCCAGGTCCACAAAGTTCTTCTGTCGCTGCTCTTTAAGGACGTATGCTTTCTGTTTATCCTTCTGCTTCTCTTCCGCTGTCCTGGCTAATTTGAGCTTCAGACGTTTCTTCTTCTCCTTTTTTTTCTTTTCCAGAAGGATTTCATTCTGTTAAAAACCCCAGGAAAAAAATAAATATATCTATATAGATCTAGTTATATATATATAGATCTATATATCTGTAGCAGGTTTGGTATTACGAGAGGATAATCTGATTAAGGCTGCGTTCACACCTGACCGTTTTGTAGCGCGTCCTACGCTCGACGAACGGTCTACAAAACGGTCAAAAAAATAAATAGCATTGTAGTCAATGCCCTCGTTCCCACCTAGGCGTATTTCCGCCCGTCCCTAACGCCCTACAAAACGGCCCACGCCTGAAAAGGTCCCGGGACTACTTTGGGCCGTTTTGTAGGGCGTTTTCCATTTGGATACTGCCAAGTAGCCTTTGGAATCGCGTGAATCGCGGTAACAAACGCGTGACGTTCGCGCATATTACAATACGCCTAGGTGTGAATGGGGCCTTAAAGCGGACCTTGTAATAAAATGCAAGGTCCACTTTTACTTTCGAGACCCCCCTAGCTCTGCATAAATCAGTAACAGACATTAGGTCCAAAACGTACCTGTAAACAAAGATTGATACTTCCCTTACCCCTGCGTCTTCCACATTGCTGACATCACTATCAGTCCAAGAAGATTCTAGGGGAATCTTGCACAACGACACCCAGTTCATTGAAAGAGAGCCTACTAGTGGCATTGGGGCGGCTCCCCAATTAAGTAGTGTGATGTTGCCCTTGCCTGCCTGTTATTGATATACATAGAGGGATTGGGCCCAGACCATATAGGCAGACCTTGCATTTTACTGTAAAATACAACTTTACAATGTAAAATACCTTTTTCACGTGACTGCTACCTTTTGGTCTTGAACTGTACAGAAAAGGGATGAGGGCTGAGCAGGGCCCCATCAAAACTCTGCTGGAGCCACTGCGGACACTGGCCGGACAGAAATGCACATCATAGCAAAGTGGTCCATGGCTAGGTCAGCCTGAGGGAGCTTTCATGTAAGGGTGACAACACTACTGCTACATCGTAGGCAGGGCAGTAACTAGAATAAACCTTGTTGTGAAGGACTTGAAGGCCAGAAGTGGAAGGAATATGTCTGTCTTTAGAATGGTCTTTAGAAAGTTGGTCTCTGGGTTCTTATAATAATGACAACAGAAAGTTGACCCACCAGCCACGATCCAGTAATGATCAGGGAACATTTCTGGTCAGTCCGGAAGTACGGTTCCGAATAATCCTGGGCTGCTTCAGGATTGCCTGCTTTTCGGTTTTTCTGGTTTTCCATCCTCGTCTGTAGGAGGGCACTGAATAGAAACAGATATTTAGAGTGAGATCAGTGTACATCATATGTAAAGCTCTGTCCCCACCTCCTTCAATCCACCACACTTTTCAGGCTGCCTCTCAATGCCAACAGGAATCCCTGGCATTTGTGGGCTAATTTATTCTATTTAATATTGCGATCAATCAGAGAAGAGATACAGGCAGGGAGAACCGAGGGCTATACACATCTAGAAGGGTGTCTTATCATCTGAAAGTGGGGTTCCTTAGTCAATAATACTACTACAGCTGCAATGGGGGAAATGTTAGTGGCGTGCGCCACTCTGACTGGTCTGACTCCGCCCCCTCCTGCAGTTTTGTGCAGGCAGACTTTAGTGGGTGGGGCTTCTGGGCCCCTCGCACAGCTCTGCTGTCTGCACATGTGCAGCACACTGGTGAAGTCACTGCTACTTTTAACAAGGTATTAAGATGGTTAGCAAAGTTATTTGGTGACTAGTGTGACTATTGAGGAATATATTAGAATGAATGGTTCTCTGCTTTAATGTCACATCATATTGGGAAAGTGCTTGAGTACCAGGAGAGAGGGAAGTCAACACGTGTCATGAGCACAATGTGTGAGCAAAGCTTCACCTGTATTCAGGTTAAAAGAGTGTTGCAGGGTTAGAACCTATGTCAGCATTGCAAATAGGGATGCACTGATACTGGTTTTTCGGTATCGAGTACCGATATTTTGCTTTCGTCACTCGCGAGTACCGATACCAGTGCTTCCACTGGCATGGAGCCGGCTTCCTGGGCACTCAAGATGCGGGGCGGTGGGTAATGACACGCCGTCCGGCTTCCCGATTGCCTGGGAAGCTGGCTCCATGTTGTTTGGCCGGCTCGATGCTGTTTGGCCAGGAAACCGGATGGAGCCGGCTTCCCGGTCAATCAGAAAGCTGGACGGCTAGTAATGACCCGCTTCCCAGCTTCCTGATTGGCTGGGAAGCTGGCTCAATGCTGTTTGGCTGGGAAGCCGGCTTCCTAGCATCAAGCCCACTTCCCGATCATCAGGAAGCCCGGAGGCAGGAATCCTTCCTCTGACTGGAAGTTCCGCTATCAGGGAAGGTAAGGTATCGGAGCATTTGGTCGAGTTCAAGTACTAGCCCCAATACTCGGTATCGGTACATCCCCAATTAAAAACCTGTCTGTGTCACTACAGGGGAGATCCCCCTTTCTATTTGTCCAGGTGACCATTGTCACCGTGACAGAAAGTGATGGTAAATCCAAAATTTTACAATTGAACAAGAGGTAAATCTTCCACTATGGGCACCTGTTACAGGGACAACAAAGAGAAAGGAAATCTCCCTCACTTTGCAGAGAGTTTTTCTCACTTCCTGCATGGTTCCTTGGACAGGAAGTGAAGGGAAATCTCAATAATGAGACATAGGCGGCAAAAATAAAATGACAGGGATTTTCACTCCTCTTTTGAAATCTTAAAAAGAAAAAAAGTTATGCCTATACAGAAACTTTAACGATCCCCAGGATTATCAACATGTGATGATGTCACTGGTCCTTAGACTGCTGGAACTATGGGAGAAGAGGATGTGGGGACTGGTCAGACAGCCAGACAGGATCGAGGATCTGGTGAGTACATTTTCTTTATTTGCGCCCCCCCCTAGACCAAAACAAGCAGTTAACCCTTTCAGTGCGGGAGGGGGGTAGCCCCACTGCAAGGGTTAACTTTTAAAATTCCACAATTTCCTCTTTAAATCATTGTCATTAATATACAGTATATTGTAGGTGGTATACTGTGCCATGCATAGAGAATTTTACAATGTCCCTTTTTTCATGGTTTATGCATGATGCCCTGATAATCATAGTGTACGGTCTTTGCTTACTTGATGTCCTCCCCATAGCAAATCTTGGTTTCGTCCGTTAGTAGTTCACAAGCAAAGCCGATGTTCTCTGCAGTCTCTGGAAGAAAAGACGAGGAAACATTCATGTGTCTATGTAGAAACTGGATATGAAATCTGCCATTTTATACAGCACATGCATTCATTTCTATTTTGTGCCATCGGGGTCATAAAAATGCCCACTTCCACCACTTGCCAAGTGTGGCAGCAGCTTCCAAGACTCAGAGGGGAATTTATCAAAACTGGAGCAGACAGAATCTGGAGCAGCTGTGCATGGCAACAGAGATTTTCAGGTTAAATGGCTCTGCAAATTGTTTATAAATAGAACCCAGAGACTGTGACTTATACCTGCTGCAGCAGGTGTCCGGTCCTGGGAAGCTAAGATAGGAAGCTGATGGTGAAAAAACATACTGGGATAGAGGTTTGGACGGTTTATTCTCTCTTAGTTGGACAGCACAGAACCATGACTTCTTGTACGTACCTTTTTTATCTCCCGTTAGCACCCAAATCTTTATGTCTGCTTCGGCTAGTTTGGCAATTGTGTAGGGTACGCCATCTTGAAGCTTGTCTTCAATGGCTGTGGCTCCCAGCAGCTAGAGAAGGAATGATAGCAATTAGGGTTGCACAGATACCAAGTGCAGTACTCGGTACAAGTACAAGTACAGGTACTGATACTTTTGAGCTCCAAGACTACACTAGAGAAAATTTCAAAAATTAGGAGGCTGCTGTCATTTGTAAGGAGCACACTGAGCTCCTGGGATTTGTACATCTCTGTTTTGATGTACAATTTTGTTTTTATAAATATAAATAAAGGGATGCACAGATACCAGTTTTGCGAGTACGAGTACTGGTACTTGCCGAGTACTTACAAGTACGAGTACTGATACGTTTTTGTTTATTGTCAAGTGACAGTTTTTCTAAAACAATACAGACTAATGATTTCAGGACAGTGGTGGAGTGCCAGAGCCATGTCCCAGCTGCAACGCTGGCAACCCTGCTAGTTCTCATGAAAATGCCAAGTATCTGCACTGGTACTCTTAAAAGTATCTGTGCATCCCTAATAGCAATGATGGCGCTGTAACATGTAAAGTGGTAGCAAAGTACCTCTGATTTAAAGTGTACCTCTAATGCATGCATCCATAGACACACACACCTAAAGTGGAAGCCATTCTGGGAAATGGACCAGACAATGCAGACTTTTAAGAGACAAGGTGACAGCAAGTCACAATGGTGATCCTAACACATAGTAAACTGATATTGTGGTCCAGTCCAGCAAAGATCGTTCTGCTTCTTTGCGTTGGCCAAGGCATGACTAAAATGACCCTTTCTGCAGCTAGATCCCGCTCACTCATCCAACCCCCATAATATGTTGATTGGTCTTGGCACTATGGAACCTCAGGAAACAACATAGGGATGCAATTGTTCCCCGTGCTTCGTAAGTGGCCACAGCTACAGGAGGTTGCAGTGGGTACATAAGGCTGAGAATGTTGTCTCTTGTTGCCAATGAAGGGTGCTACCCATAACAAATGTCTCCCCTTGTCTAATAAAACATATACAGTAGCTTTGGACCAAGCCCAAAAAACGGTTGCCCCCTACTATGAAAGGCACACTCCATTATCTGTCCGCACACTCACCACTAGGTTGGTTTCAATCTCTTCATAGACTTTATCCAGAGCTCCATCCCGGTCAACCATGGACACACTGGCGGCCATATACCTCTTACTCCACTTCTCAAACTCTTCTTCACTGATGTCCTTGTAGCAGAGACATAAGGTCCTAAGAGTCTCGTTGGCAAACAGCTGAGGGGGGTCAACAAGGAACACGTCAATAATGATTTTCAAGTGGACCTCTTTGTTACTTTAAAAGTCTACATGAGCTCTTGACATGTCCCAGTATACAGCAATAATACAATGTAATAAACATCACCCCTTATCAATAAAGAAAGCAGTCACTGAGCTCCAGTCAAGTGATTGTGGACGGGCCTAAGAGAAGCATCTTGGGAAGATGAGTCATCAATCTGCTGCAGGCTGATGGAAGCATTTGCTCAGTCTCTTACCCCCCAGTGATCGCCCACTCATACCGTACTTTGGAACTATCTGGCAGCTTAAAGCCAGGATTATGTATCTTTATATTATTGGCTGGAGCTTTGCCTTAAGATATCAGTATATTGGCAATGACTAACACATGGATATAAAACTGGTTGGTTGCATTGCTCCGCTAGCTTTTTCTCTGCATCAGAGACTGCAGTTCTAGGTAGACATGTGCAATTCGTTTCTTTCCGAATCCCAATGCATCCAAATGTGTCCGAATCTAAATTTCTGTTTACGCATTTCGTATCCCGCCCGAATTTCGTTCAAAAATGAAACTAAATGGAGCATGTGACTTTTTTGGCCAATCAGATGTGTTTTTTGGTTTACATCATTCATAGTTACATAGTATTTGGGGTTGAATAAAAGACATACGTCCATCAAGTCCAACCCATATAGGTCCACGCATCATCTCATTCTTAGGGATACTGGTATCCCTGGATATTCAATGGGTCTGAACACGAATTTTCGTTACGGCAACATGGGAGCCATCTGATTCGCCAGAAAAGTCACATGCCGTATTGAAAATTTGTGTTCAGTATATACATAAAAAACTAAACTGAGGCTCCTAGACCCGAATGGCTTTCGGGATTCGAATTTCCGAATTGCATGTGGGAGCTCCCGAATGCCATTCAGGTTTAATGCCATCAAAAAATTCAGAGACGTCCTGTGCCCTCACAGCACTTCTGATATCTCAAAAGGTCTAATTAGCCCTCCTAGTTCTTATCTTGGGACTCCAGCAATGAATAATGCCCATGTTGTGGAGATGGTACATTAGGAGGGTTTAAGCCAGGGGTGGCCAACCTTGGCACTCTAGCCGTGTTGAAACTATAAATGCCATCAGGCCTTTGCGTCTGGGAGTAATGCCTGTGGCTGTCAGTCTTGCAATGCCCCACGGGACTTATAGTTCTACAACAGCTGGAGTGCCGATGTTCCCTACCCATGGTTTAAGTAGATTCATAAAAGACAGTGGGCAGGGCTGACACCACTCATTCCACAAAAATGCTGTTCGTCGTCAACCCACAGCAGGACTTAGGAGCAGAGTGCATTTTTGGTAGCAACACATGTTTTTCTGTACTTACTTTAAAATAACATGGAGAGATGTGCACGCATTGCAGAGATGTACTAAATACGTAAATCCCCCTTGCAATACAGTCTAATGTTACCACTGGGTTCTCGTACTAAGGGTGGAAAAATATTTTACAAAACCAGACATTTTAATGGTCTAAGTGAAATCTCAGCTTAACATACATGATCAACGAAAATCACTCTTGATGGCAGGTAGGAATTCAGCCCTTTTTTTGCCATCTCAATACTGCTAAACTCCTTCAGTCTTTTTGAGCCACTTCCTGTCTAAATGCACTTAAGAGAACTATGAGGTGAGTGAAAATCACTCACCTCATAGTTCTCCTTTAACTCCAGCATTGGCTGCACCCCCTTGCTTTGGAGAGCCTTACTGATAGTGACAACAGTGGAAAATGTCTGGAGAATGTGTGCTAAAAAGACCTCTTGTAGTCTCCATGTCTGCATCAGGGTGACAACACAGAAACACAATTAAGAGACAGGGACAGAGTGATGTCACCTTATAACAGGAAGTGCCTCAACAAGGACCATCATGGAAGGATCACCGGGTATTATTTTAATGAAAGCTGCAGATTTAGATTTTATAATGACCTTGGAAATGACAACAACCTGTTAAAGCTGATCTCATGTGACAGTGATTAGGTTTACATACACTTTAAATATTGTATAGTGTATGAGCCTGGAAATCTACACAATGTATTTTTTCCTCTGATATTTCAGGAGGACAACAAGCTAACCTCGGTGACGTCAGGCACTAAAAGGTGTGTCAGCAAGTTCAGCAAGCCTTGGTAAGCAATGTGTACCTATAAAATAGCAATGAGTTTCAACACTCAGCCTTATTTGCATATCATTAGGGAGTTATTATTACAGGATTTACCTGAACATCATTTTTATATGACTTTCACATAGTTATGCTTGTTTTGTCACACTTTTATCACTATGATAAATATAGAGATTTGCAGATCAACCACTAGATGGAACCATAACCATCTTGCAATGACTGTTTATAACTAATAAGCTTTCAGCCACACGGGGAGTGCATTGTTTTCAGAGAGTGGGCGAGCAGGGCTATATGTAGAGCGGGGAAGTCGCACGTTTGTTTACAAGTGATCTCGGTGATGTTGCCAAGATCACTTGTAATAAGACTACAGGTCCATCCTCCCCCAGCTGTGCTAGAGCTCCTGTATTGGAAGTGACAGGTTCAATAAAAAGAACCTGCCACCTCCAAATGCTATCACACAGGAGCTAAGTGAAAAAAAAAGAAGAATTGATAAAATAATTAAATCAATAAAAAATAATTGAAAAAAAAAGTACAAAATAATAAATACAATTGAAAAAAGACGTTTTTTTTTAAAAACTAACCCTGCCACCCGGTTGCCATTCTCCATGAGGAACCTGGCCTTGGGGCAGCAGAAAGTAAATCCGGCCCTGCCAATACTACTAAGGAACTTCCCAAATTGGTATAGAATTGGGAAATGTCTGTAAGGCCTTGTTCACACCAAGCGCGGAGCAGGTGCAGAGCAGAGCAGTTGCAGACCGGATCAAAACTGCGTCCAATGTATTCCAATGGTATTTTTTGCTCCAGTTCACATCGCAGCGTGCAGTTCCAGAGCAAGTCCAGAGCAGGTGAAAAAACTGCAGCAAGCCCTATTTTACCTGCTCTGGATCTGCAAACGCATCAAAAACGCATGCAAATGCCTGGAACGCACTGAAAGCCCATGTTAAACTAAAAAAAAAAAAATATATTTTTTTTTTAACCAAAAACGGCCCGGAACACATCAAAAACGTGGCAAAAATGCGGCACAACCCACTGCATTGCGTGTGCAGAAACCTGAGCGGATCTGCTCTGCATTTGGTGTGAACAAGGCCTTAGGAGTCTATTGGTCAGAGATTAAGTTCTCCGCTGTGTCCTTCAAAGAACAGAAGAGAAATAGGACCCTATGATGTAGGGAGAGCGTCTCACCTATTATAGACATCCTCTTGCGGTCACTGTTGAAGTCAAGGATTCCAAGCACTTCATATGTGGCTTCTTTCTCCAGCTCGCTGATGGTGATGGTGCTCTGGGTTCTCGATAGAAACACAAAGCCAAAGTTCCTTGCTGCTGTCACCAGAGCTCCTTCATCTGGGGAAGCCGCTTGATAGACTAGTTCACCATCTGTAATCAAATATGAACTTCAAATCAATCAAACGGAAGATATATAAAGTGCCGAGTGGAGTGGGGAGCAGGAAATCTCAGCAACCAATTAGAATTCTTCTTTCATTAGTTTATCCACTCCTAACTTATTTCAGCTAATCGGTAACATCAACCGGCAAAAACTCAGATTACCCCCTCTGCTATGCTGCCTATGCACTACTTGCTTCTAAACTGCACGCATTGACTTCATTCAGGAATTCTGCACCTGGCCCTATTCTCTCCTCCATCTTTTTGGAAGGTGAGGCTTCCCATCACATTGCTGGAGTAATAGAAAGTTGCAGATGGGGATGGATCCAAATTGCTACATAAAACCAAAATTAGGTTTTCAGGGGCCTTTGAAGGAGCACTTGCAAGAACCTAGAGGAACGGCTATTATACAAGAGATGAAATACTTAGGGGCCCATTCATAAAGCAGAGGTATTTCCTAAGCCAGCAAATAAACTCCTTCGGAACATTTAAACAGCACTGATGTGTGCTCTATGCATTCGCTTTGAACTTTGTCTGTGTTGGGATTCTAAAGCAAGCGAAGAACCATTAATTAGATTGCATGGGGGGTAAAAAGGTAATGTGACAGGGCTCTCCTCCTATTCACAAGTGTTCTCTGCAGCGGTATGCACAGCACACACTGCAGGATGTCCCAAGCTCCGCACAGCATTCAAACCAGATCACTTGGGATTTATTGACAGCCCAGGCTGTGCCACATCCCCTATATCTCTTTGGTGAATAGAGGGCACATATTGTGATGGTGGTTGGGGATGGGGGGCAAATAGACATTACATATTGCTGTGGTGGGGCACATAGTGTTGTAGTGATGGTTGGGGGGAGGGGGGTGAATAGAGAGCACATAGTGTTATGGGGTGGTGAATCCATGGCATACATTGTTGTTCTGGGGAGTAGCGAATAGACAGCACATTTGGTTGAGGTAGTGGTGGAGGGGGTGGCAAATAGAGGGCACATTTGGATGAAGTGGTGAATAGAGGGCACATATTGTCGTAGTGGGGTGGCAGTATTACAACTTCTAAGCAGCCTTTTCATTAATTTGCTAGCACAGCACTATCTAGGTGCCTTCCATTAACTTCCAAAAACCATATATAACTGCGCTGGGTAGATTTTCCTTAATTACAGTCGAGCTGATCTTCTCTAAAATTACAACCTTATATACAGAATATTTGTCTAATCTTTGATCATCAATACCGCACAATTTAAAGTGCCCCAACTGCTGCATAGTTAGGCACTTACCGTCCGTCTTTTCCACCATGACGGTGTGGCACAGAGAAAGCAGCTTGAAGAATTGACGGATAGCGGGATCTTTCCCTGACCGGATCTCTTCTATGAGGTAATGGTCACTAAATGTAAACTTCGAGTCTGCTAGTGGATTCCAGCCAAAGTCTACCAGCTGCAAATAGAGAGAGCGGATAAATGCAAAATGCCAACACTATAGATCATTACGATACATGTCAGTAGGAAATTACCAAAAGAGAAATCAGCTTATTATGAACTCTCTGAAGTCTTAAAATCGGGCTCTCCCCTTTCCGTGCATCCTCCTATCTGCTGTGCAGGTGAACTAATCATTTGGTTAGACTGCGGGTTGATATTTGACCAGCAGGTGGCGCCAGTTACCCTATGTTATCCCATCAAACAGTATGAATGCATAGGGGCAGTTGTAGTTCCCAGTTGGTCTTTTTCTCATGTCACACAGCTCTGATTTTTGCCCGGATTTACACTTTAAATCTATTCCATGCAGAGGCTACATTCATTTTTTTTTTTTTATCACTTAGCAAATTAAATTTGTCCATGGGTGCCCAAACCTTCGCACACAACCGCACATAAGTACACGTAGGATATGTTTACTTACCTCACTATATGCAGATTTCTGCCCAGCAACGTGCCTCTGCCCACCTGCAAAAACAGACATTAATTGTAAAAGAAATGACAAGTACAAAAAGCTCTCCAGGGCTAATTTAGCAATACTGAAAGACTCATCCAAAGCTAAAAAGGTAAACGATTACTTACAGCCCATTCTAGTGCAGTGCCTGGCGGGAAAGCAAGCGTTAAGGCGTGTTACGGGCATTAGCATTTGGCGGTGCCATTCGCTGTCAATATCACACAAACGTACTAACTAAACGTGCCTTGGGTGCACATATGTTGCAGCACACCACAACGCATAGCAACACTAGCAAGCGAAGTGGTACACTGTGTCGAAAAAAAAATTGTTGCATGTCTGCATCTCCCCCCCCCCCCCCCATTCAGAAGCGTTGGCAGACCATTTATTTAATGGGCTACCCTAATGCAATATGCATAGACACAGCACAAGGCGTCAGTACGGACAGGTATGAAGGTGCCCCCAAAACGTTCAGATGAGCATTTCAAATGCAACATTTCATTAACGGGAAGATTGTACACCTATCCCCCAGCTAAGCAGCATCAGTTCAGCATGGAGTTTAAAGAGGATCACTCAAATTCCAAAAACTGACCTCCAAAAACACGTGCTAGACGTCGGATGGGCACTTTTTCTCATATTTATTTATTACAGGCATTTATATAGCGCCGACAATTTACGCAGCACTTTACATAATTAAACATTCACATCAGTCCCTGCCCTCAAGGAGCTTACAATCTAAGGTCCCGATCTTACATGCCTACATAGAGGGGCCAATTAACCTACCAACATGTCTTTGGAGTGTGGGAGGAAACCGAAGTACCCGGAGGAAACCCACCAAGCACAGGGAGAACATGCAAACTCCTTGCAGATAGTGACCCTGGCCGGGATTCAAACCAGGGACCCCCAGTGCTGCAAGGCAGAAGCGCTAACCACTACGCCACTGATCGACTTAGGCTGCGGCCTATCAAAGCGTTGGTTACCCAATAAAGCTCTTTAATACCGATTTAACTGGGCAATGTCACCAACCAAGCCAAGAACACAGCAAGGCTATTCCATCCGGTCCATGGGGTGATCGTGTAAAAAGAGCAATGGCACAAGATACCCAATCTGCATCTCCGAACTCACCATAGGTCTCTCCAGTGATGGAGCACTTTTTGAAGGTCATTATGTTCTGCGTCAGTGTCCCCGTCTTGTCGGAGAAGATGTACTGGATTTGTCCCAGTTGCTCGTTGAGCGTTGTGGTCCTGGCTTTGGCCGGAGTGTCTTTCTCAGAGTGGTACATCTGCAGATCCCAGTTAATAAAGTAACTCTGACCCAGACGAATCACTTCCACACTAGAATTAAAAAAAACAAAAAACCACAATGGTCATGGAAATCAGTTTGTTATTATATGGGCACATTTCTCAAAGGTCAAAGAGCCCAACATTCCTCACTGTACACTTGGTTATCATATAAACTTCAGCCGCGGGGTGTACGCACCTCACCAGGAACCCCCTGCCGCCACACAAGTCCACTCCCTATAACATGAAGCCATATACTGCTGTTCCGCAAGGCTTAAAAGGAGAACTATGGGGTCAGTGTTTTTCCCCATAGTTCTCCTTAGGGTAACGGGAGGACACAAACTAGCGTCCTCCCGTTACCATAAGCTCAGTATACTGCGAGCTACAGCTCGCAGTATACTGAGACGCCGCAGCCGAAGCGGATCCCGACATGGACGTCGAGATCCGCCCAGCTGGAGCGGGGAGGGGGGAATCCAGCCCCTCCCCTGTCATGGCAGAGAGCCGTGACAGGATCGAGAGGTGAGTGAACAAGGTATGTGTTCGCTCACCTCCCGATCTACTGAGCCGACCTGTGACAGTCTCATTGTCACAGGTCGGCTAGAAATATGAGGTGAGTGGAAATCACTCATCTCATAGTTCTCCTTTAAAAACAGCTTTATTGTTCCAGCACCATTGAGGACACTGAGAACCCTTCACTGACGCATTTCACCCTCTGCTGGGGCTTAATTGTAGATTAAGTAAAAGCAGTTATTGTTCCAGCACCATAAAGGGCATTCCACCCAGCTATTCTCTCTCTATGCTGTGATTCCCCCTCTGCTGGTGCTTAATTGTAAATAAAAGTAAAAACTCATCAAATGTTCCAGCACTACTTCGGTCATTCCATCCAACACTGATGCATTTCATCCCCTGCTGGAACTTAATCATAGAGGATGAAATATGTCAGAGAGGAGCATGGTGGCGTGTCGTCAATAGTGCTGGAACAATACAGCTGTTATGAAGCCTTATGAAACCGCAGTACATAAGCCTTATATTCCTGTACCCACTTACTCGCATTGATGTGTTTTGTCCCTGCTGGGACGTAATAGCAGATAGAGTAAAAACAACGTTATTGTTCCAGCAATTTAGGACACTCCACCCAGACTCTGATGCAGTTCATCTTAATCGCAGGCGGCAAAATGTATCAAAGCTAGGGAACATGGTGGGTGCTCAGTTCTTCCTACAGAACACCAACCCCTGTTAAAGAGATGAGGAAAGGGGAGGTAGTCCAGCAGATAGAACTAAGCAGAGCTGATAGCATACTTTAAGATTTCAGTGCAGCAGAGGCAGAGCGTGCCCAGGAGCTTACAAGCTCATTGAATTTCTGGCAGGTTCAAGAGGTTTTTTTTTCTATACTTGCAGTGTTTGTAAAGAGACAAGAGCTGTGTACACATCACCTTTTAATTTTAATTTTTCCCAGGCACGCCCTTACAATAAATAAAAACAACCGGAATAAAAAAAACTACGCTTAGGACACGCATTGTTTAGATGTCACTCACCTCACATAGAGAGAAATGGGCACCATGGTATTTAGGACAATGATGTACCCCCAAAAAGCCAAAAATCCTCGATAAGAGGGAGGATAATCATTCCCATCGTACAGATACCAGGATACATTCGCAGGTCCTAATTTGGCCTCCCAGAACGTCTGACCAATAGCAAGGCCCGCTGCAGCCAGGATGAGAAGAACAAATATCTAGAACGGGGGAAAAAATAGATTATCCAAACTGAAATCAAACATCGGTTCAAGGAAATTTATAGGGGTTTAAATACGTTTTCTTTTTTGTGTGCATTATTCTTAAGGCAAAACATAAAATAAATAATTTAGTCATTATGTCCAGGTTTATCATAAACGCTAAAAAAAGGCGTTTAACCCTTCCGCTGCCAAGCCCTGCGGAATGCTTTTAACCTCAGCTGGCCACACCGTTATTGCAATATTTAACTTTTTTTTTATATTCAACTGCAGCTTTTAGCGTTGTCCAACATTTTCTGAAAGCACAGGAAGGACCGGATTTACCCTCCCTGCCGCCCCAAGGCTGGGTTTGGCAATTAAGAGAATGGCTGTTCTGCTATTTGTTACAACAACTTGTAATGGGTCTGTGTGGCAGGGGTGGGCAACCTTGGCATTCTAGCTGTAGTGAAACTGCAAATCCCTTCATGCATCTGTCTCTGGGAGTCATACATATGGTTGTCAGAGTCTTGCAATGCCTCATGGGACTTGTTGTACAACAGCTGGAGTGCCGGGGTTGCCTTCATCTGCTGCATGGTTACATTAGGTGAACATTCCATTGGAACCTTCTTCTCATATGTTACAATCTGACCGTACAATCTTTGTACAATCTTCTTCAGATTTCCCAAATTATGTAATATGAGGATCTACCTAAACTATTCAATCAATCTATAGCCAACCAAGCAGGCCCTTGTGCTACACAACTGTTGGTAGATCGAAAAGGAGATTGTACAGGCAACATGTGTCTTGGACTTTAGAGAAGATACCAGCATATAAAACAAATAGAGCTGAAAACTATTTTTGAGACAATTTAGGAGCAATTGCATTACCGTGTACACCATGTAGTTCATCAAGTAATCTATTTTGGTTCTTTTTAATCTGGTTTTCCCACTGTTCCTCATAATTTTTGTGTCAGCACCTGAAATATATAAAAATGCATATTATTACATAGAAAGAGGCATTATCTGCATGGAATTTGTGTATTTTCTCTGTTTGAATTTAGTACTTCCGTTTAGGACTTCAGTTTGCACATAAACCCAAATTAGTAGGTTTGCTGGCTTCCCCCGACCCCCAAACCAAATTCCACTGGTGTGGATGATTGTAGTAGGAACAATTAGACTAGGAATCAGGTACTGCCATGACTGGCTGAGTGATCTCTGTAAAAAAGTTCATATGTCATCTCTGTATGAACGTAGAATAGGCCTTGCCTGACCCAGGATCCTGAGATCAAAAATCAGATAGCAGTGAAAGTTTTTATACCTATGATCATCTCACAGCATCATCCCTCGACTGTTCGCCTCAGCTAGCCCTTATTTCTACAATACCTGGGTCCATTAAATTATCTAAAAAGGTCTGCTTCAGCTTTTCCTCATAGCAGCAAGGGTGGTCATACAGAGGCACTGAAAGTCAACTACCTCCCCATCTCTGAAAGAGTAGGTGGAGGAAATGCAGTTACTTTGCTAACCTAACAGCTAACCTATATGACCGTTCGGGTCAATACCATGAAGCATGGAACATTTGGTTAAAAAAAACCAAACCACCATGGCAATTCCATATGTTGCTTGCCCCGTAAATCAAACTTTCTCAGCCATTGGATGCGAGGGGGTCGGTACCCCCTGGCCCCAGACGATTGTTCCCTCACCTATTACCCCTCATCTCAACCTTGCCTTTTTTTCCCCTGCATATGCTAACTCACACCCCTTTCTATGATCTTTCAGAACCTTTTTTGGGCTTCCTTCTTTTTGTTTCCTTTTATGGGATTTTCAACCTCACTTTGACTAATTGACCAATAAAGCCACTTGCCTGCTCAATAATTCCAATACTCCTATCGTAAGACCTAAGCTGCCTTACTGTAGCATCTACTGTTGTGCTCAACGCAAATTGTCTTGTATCCAGATTATGGCTGTTCTTTTGTCCTGTTTTTCTTTATTTCTTAAAACTTTATTTAAATTTACAAACATTTTGTTTAAAAAAAAAAAAAAAAACACAGACAAGATTTTGCTACAGGGCACAGAATATCAAAGTCAAACATTGACCAAATCGAAGGTCCTACAAGGGGCAATGAAGCATCCTACCTGCGAACAAGACCAGCCCATGGCAGTATGCGGTATTGCGGATAGTACACCCACGCAGTAAGATTTTGTCGGCATCTAGTGGGTAGCTCATTCCTCTCCAATACAGAGTCCCCACAAACTTGTCCAAACGATTGTTGGGCTCTTCACATACCACCAGTCCTATAAAGAGAAACCAATACCTTAACTGTCCTGAGATCTAGCATAGTGTGTGTTAAATGCAAACCTTTTATCACAATAGAATTACCTACGTCAGGTTCTTACTATTTTAGCAAAAGAGCAGCCATCTATTTTTTCTGCAGGCTCTTTGTTGATGGGCTGCTAGGATTGTCATGTTCTTGTTTTTCTCAATAATCATGTGACATGTTTTGGGACAAAAGAGGTGCCATCATAATTTCTATATAGGGCAGCGCAAGTTCAAAAATGTGGTGCCTGGACTGGTAGCATTCCTCTTGAAGGGGAATTGGTGAGACCCCAAAACATGTTGTCTTGCATTTTTACATCAATCAAATAAAGAA